AACAAATGCATGGTAAGAGCCAGCCAGCCTCTGGCCCAAAGATAAAGAGTCTAGAGCAACAGAGGATAAGGGGGAAGCAGAGAGGAATGTGAAGGTACTTGCCCAGCACTGCAGAGTGGGTGCAAAGTTCAGTACCAACGCTTTTGGTGACTCTGAATTTAATGTCAGACCATACAAATGTTTGCCTGGCAGACTGTGAAAAAACTGCCACACTGGGAATGGCCGAACTACTTACGAGATACAGAACTACCACCCCTGTGCTAAGGACAGGTTTCCCCAAAAGTCAAATAAACCTCCAGTCTCCTTCTCCTGCCTCCAACCAATATGGGATCCCACAAGCACACTTTCTTATGGTATCTGTTTTTGTTTACCTTCTGATCATTTTTTCAAAGTCTCTCCCGAGCCTCTGGAATGGGCAATCAAGATAAACAATTACAATACCATAGTAGAAATTAGACTACCAACAAATCCAGTGTTGTGCTATCTGTAGTTGAGACGCTTTCTGTAATGGTTCAAAGGTAACATCATGAACTATCACATGTGTAAAAGAGGCTGGAAAGTCAGGACAGAAATAGCAGTGAAATCCTTGCAAATAACAATGGAGAGGAGTAGTATATATCATCTGTAAAATTATGAGCAACTGTTCATAATGTATTCAAGCAGCAGCACAACACCCTTGAGAAGCTCTATAGGTGTAACTGAAATTTTATAATGTATTGGCTCTGAATGTTTTTGATAAGAATAGTACCACTTTGCTTAACAGGCAAGAACACATGCTTAGGTTAGTATCAAATGCAACATGGAAGATTTCAGCCTATCAAAACTACTTTTAGCTGTCTTACAAAACTTTAAAATCTTCCTGAAGTTTACCAGACTACAAGGTGGTATTACAGTCACCTAAGGAAATGAATGCATAGCTGAGGGGGAAAATGTTTTATAGTATCTGATAATACCTTAGGCATTGATAGGACATTTTCGTACAGGTTGAAAATGCATTCTTCATTTTTCACTGACAGCTGGTTAAAGGAGGAATGCAGTGAAAAGTCTATAAAAGCCTTAAAAAAAAACCTGGATAGGTCTGCACTTCTGTTTTTCTCCCGCCCATGCTAATAAATGATGTGCAGTTGTTAACAGTATCTTTTGGATTCAGTGCCACCTTGGGCTGTAACCACACTAGGCAACAGAGAGCCTACAGCACTTCTTGAACCAGGAAAGAATGGGGATTCTCATCTCTTTTTAATACAAGAGGGTAGAAATATTAGAGGCAACTTCTTACACAATTCTTTTTCTTCAGTTTACATAAGTCTACTCATGCCACTCCAGCAGGCTGGCTTTCGTTCCTTCTCTTCCCCTGGAAGATACTTTCTGTAGGTCAGCACAACTAGTTTTGGAATCTGCTCTTACTTCTTTTGGCTTCTCCATTTCTGATTCTGCTGCTCATTGATTCCCATTTGATATATTTCCTTTCCTTGATTTTGCAATACTGTCCTCACTGCTTTCTTCTCCTACCTTTGTGCCTGCTCCTCCTACATCTCCTTTGGGAGACTGTGTTCTTTCTTTTTCTGACATTGCCTGGGGCAGCTCTTTCCTCTGTTTCTAGTTCCTTCTTTTTCTTCCTCACAACCTGCTCCTACACACTCCCATCTCCTCCTATGACCTCAGCTGCTATCTCTCCATCAACAAATCAAAAACCAGCCTGATCAGCCATTCTCCATCCAATCCTACATATTTCTCAGCTTCATTAACATCTTCTCCTTGATGTCTCAGTGTCAACTTAAAGGGGTGATGGCTAAAACTGATGACCTTACTCTCTTCAGTCCACAATTCTCTGTCAGTGTTGAAGTCCTCACTTTTCTTCCGTAACTCCACCTCTAACAGCTCCTCCCACTCTCTAAACGTTTACTAAAATAAACCTGTACCTTTTCACTTTTTTTTAATGCTACACTTTTGAGAGCATCTTGTTCCTTTCCACTAACACAAACACCATTTAGATGCAGGTCCTTCTTAAGGCATCATCTCTCTTTTTGTTTGTGACAACCTACCAAAAAACTGTTTTACTAATGAAGGACTTCCTGCAAGAGCATCTTCATTAATCTGTCCTTTCTCCTCCTCTTTTCCCAGTGCTCCCTCCTTTCTTTGAATTCCTTCATTGGTTTCCTCTGCTCTGACATCAAGGCAAGGTTTATTACACGCAGCTCTGAGTAACACTAGTATCTATTTTCCTGCTTTTTTCCATATGCTTTTATACATTTCCTATCTCTCTGAGCTAGTCCATGTCTTTTCTTTAAAAAAAAAAAAACCACCACCTCCTGTAGAGGTTTTGTATCTATTCTCTTGTAGAGAAAATTTGTCTTGTAGATAAAAGATATTTAGTGATCTAATTTACATTAGCAGATAAAATAGCTTTGGTACTCTGGCAATTTCTCCTGAAATATTACAATAGAATGAAACATGCTTATTATTCCTTTGCCCATGAATCTATGATTTATTATCAGACTAAATGTATTCTTTCTGCTACAATATAGGCAGCAAAAAAAGATTAAAATATTGGCTACACAGATTGGAGAGGCGTATGTCCATCAATGGACATCAAGCATGATGGTCCTTTTGACGGTGCTTTTCCAGAAGCATATAAACTGATGATTGCAGCAAGTTAGAACATTTTATTTGGAGAAAGATCCCTGTATTCCTGTCTGTTACTGGTCCATATGCTGGACACTGGTTACTGGGCTAGTTGGGCATTTGCTCTGCTAGACTCCCTGTGTTACATCCCCGCAGTTCTTATGTTCCTATAACTCAACGGGATAACAAATAAAGCTTTCTGATATCATCTGTGCCCTTTGTTTTTTTCCACACTTATACAAACCCTTCTCCTTTCTTTACAAGAGGAGCTAACTTTGTGAACTCCTGTGGACAAGGATCCCACCTAACTTATTTGTCTTGAAAACTTCCCAGCGCTTTTATGGGAACACCTAACATTCTGATTATTAATATCAAGAAAAATTATATTATGATGAGTGCAGCAGAACCGCTGCTGGCAGAATTATTTGCAATCCTAATTTCACACATACAACATGCTGTCCTGAACCTCTGCCCCTCCAGGTAATATCAGCTGGGGCTTTTTTTGTTTGTTTTTCCTTTTCCAATTCTGCTGCAGGCAGCTTACTTTGCAGCTTCCATCTATTAATCTCAAAGTACTTTTACATAGAGGAATTAATTAAGACTTTTACATACAAGAATTAATTAAGACAGTAATAGGCATGTTTTATCAGCTCCATGTTGCACATGGGGGAACTGAGGTGAAGAAAGAGTTGCCCAATTCTTCTGCAGAGCTGGGAACGTAGTTAGGCATATATCATATCCTCTCAACCTGGTGTATAAGAATATCCTTTCTCTCCTAACATTGTGAGGCAGTTATACAGTTTACCAAGTAAAATACCATTGACACACAGTCCTATTATTCAAAATGGAAATGCTTCCCTCAGGCGAATACCTCGGCCAGTCAAATTTTTAAACATATCCTTCTTTCTTATTTCAGACAGAAAGAAGCACACAGCACGAAAAGCAAACTACTGTAACTACTGTGGGATCTGATAACATTTATACTCTTCTAAAGAATCAGCCCAGTACCTTAAATCTTTAATCTTATCATCCCGCTTTACCAGACTCTCCCTCTTTCTCAGCATTCACATGTATACTTCTGTTTGATAAAGAAATATAAACCTAATGACTTAGGATTTTTATCTACAGTTCATAAAACCTTTGCACTGCTGACGCCGTACTATCGTGCTTGTGAAATGCAACAGTGCCACCTTCAGATCACGCTAAACATGACTTTTTCACAAACCAGCAGTACGGATGAACAGCAGCGATTCTTCTTTTCATCCAGATAGGAGCAGTGTATATACCTGAGCAGAACCTGCACGTTCACGTATTGAAGAACAAATGTCCACTGGGAACACTGGTCCTCTATTTTCATAAATAAACATTAATAAAGAGGAATTAAATACTACCTTTTAATACCTGGCATATTCATTCTCCAAGCATGAGAATCACAGCGTATTCCCCCGCCGCTGCACTACCAACTCACACTGGGCAAAGCAGCACATCAGCTGGGACGTGCTCCTGCTCTGCGACTTTCAGACAATTTGCCAACTATGCCTGGGTATGTTGAGTTCCACAGTGAGAGCCAAGCTCCCTCACAAGCCACTGTAAATATATATCTGTATGCACGTATGTATATATCCCATATACACTATACACATTACATACTGGACACAGTATGCATTATATCGCCCAAAAGGGCCCTGATCTGAAAGAAACCTACCAGAAAGTACGATCCCAGTTGCGTTGCCGCCCCTCCCTGCTATATGACGAGATGCAGGTCTAGTGCTTGACCCATACACACAAGTATACTTTGTGCCATGTCTCCTCCCTGCCAAACTGAGACTATAAATCAAACGTGTATGTTCCATTCTGAAGTTTCTTCTAAACCACAGCATCTGACAGATCTTTTTTATCCTCAACAGAGGTACTTATTCAAAACTGAACCAGCCTGTCTTTAAACATTAAAACATGTAACTTTCAATAAATTCAGTCCTGCTTTAAAAATTTTATTATTATCCAAAAATCAGTGCAATGCTGTTTAAACAAGAAAAAACAGTTAGTTAAATTTACAGTCTCTTTGCAGACATACTACATATTTTTGATTATAATGGGCAGACCTCATAATTTTAAAGCTAAGTCTTTTGCATTTTTAATTAGAACCAGTTCTGAAAAAAGTTACAGTTCTTCTCAAATTAAAGTTTAGGCCTCTGGTATTTTGAATAAAAAACCCAACTGTGATATTAATTCAAATTACACATATTGGACTGGAGAATATTAAATCAATACAGGCTTGAAAATCAAGGTGGGAATGAATTACTTAAGTTAATTTCTTCTTCACCCTTGTTCTACAATATTATTGAGAGAAGAAAGCAAGCAGAAAACACTCTACTCACCCACTGTCATACCATCCATGTAACGCTTGATGATATCAAAGGAATCTCTTAAATTTCCTTCTGTTATGTCAAATATGATATCTGCCTGGTTGGCTGGATATGTAGGTGTGACGGCACGAAGAAAAATAATCTCTGCAAATAAATAGTATCACAGAACATACTGAGAAGAAATTGAAAGCACCACTGAAGAACCTAACAGAATTTTATCCAAAATTACTTGCCTCCAAAGCTGGTGGAGGACACCTCCCCCCTCTTCCCAGTTTGTCCTTTAAAACAGAAAGAAAACATCTGGGGGAAAGGAGGATTTGGATAGATTTATTTTCTCCTCCTGAATCATCCAAGAAGTCAAGAAGCCAAAACACTATTACTTTCAGGGTCCAGAAGGATCATTCTTAGAAACCAGTCAGACTTCTTCCAACTCAAATCGTTCTACAATCTATGATTCCAGCACGCACCCAAAGAGGACAAGACTGAGGACCCACAGGCTGGGCAGCGGAGGAGGACCAAACAGGTAAAACCCTGACCTTTGATTCCCTTAGGCAGCTACATAAAGTATTGCCATTACAAATTACAGAGTCCTTTCGAGTATTGGAGGAGGGTTTTAAGTTAAAAAAAAAGAAGTGAAACTATTTTTCAAGCCCCTTGCGAGAGAGGTAAGTAGTATTATTCTCATTATTATCCTCACTCTCTAGGTGATGAAACTAAACCACGGGGCTGTAAGAATTCACTCAAGGCCATGCACTGAATTACAGTTTAGGAACATCTTCTGGGCTTTGGTAGTACTCTCAGATCGCTGGGACTCATCTCTTTTTATTAACTCATGAGGATGGACTAATGAGGGAAAGGTTTGGGAAGCATCCTGGGCCAAATCTTCAGCTCTGCTGCCAGTACACCTGGTGAAGCTGCAGGGGTGTGTATGGGAGTAAAAGTGGCTATGGGGCATTCCTCCATTCCCTGTGAAGCAGGGCCAGCCAAGGCCTGACACAATCTACAGCAGCTCCACACGGCTAAGCTATTGGTGGTTAAATTGTTCCTATATGAAAGGATTGGGATGTCTCTTGCCCAGCTCCTTCTGCTTGGTACAGAAGTGAAGAATCTGCTTCGGCTTTCATTTAGGACAACTTTCTCAGATGGCAAGGCTGAGACTCTGGGTGCATCAGAAATAGGGATTTAAGATCTCTAAAAACACCTCAAAAATAACCTTCCTTTCCTCCGTCTCCTTCTCTCTCTATGTCTGTGCCACACAGTTAAGCTGCTGAGTGGCTCACCCTACAGAGAAGCAGGGCTGAAGGCAGTCCTCCCACCTATGGATGTGCAGGCAATCCTCAGTGAAGCTGCTAGAAAATGAATACAAATGCCAAGGAGCAAAAATTGGCTCTTGATCTGTAAGTCTATACGTGAGCTGAGCAAAGTGAGTGCGATCCTTCTGACACTTGCAGAATCTAAAAACTTGCAGAGACTGAAGGAACTAAGGAAATACATGAGTGCCCATCAGAGTGCACCACCTGGGGCTGGAAAACTCACTTTGGATGACTGCACAGCCACTCACTTGGATGCTTTTTGAAAATCTTAGCTTAAAACTTTCTGTCCAGTCTTTGGAATTTCCCTTCCTTTATTGTATATTTTAGAACACTTTTTTTTTATAGGTCGAAAATAGACAAATCACAGATAGCATATTCAATAGTTGTGATTAATGTTTGCATGTAGATAGAGGCTATAATCTTGGAACAAGCCACCCGTCAATAGCAAACAACAGACCATAAAGAGACAGAGAAATATAATGAGCACCTACTTCCTATGGCAAAATATGAAAAAAAGGGAAGAAAAATGTCATGGGGAACACGGCTACTATATAAGTAAATGTGGTAAATGGGAATTCAGACCCAATATTTCCTTAGACTGTATGAGTTAGAGCTCAGAACGATTTTCTTTGCCCCATAAAATCAAAACTCCTGGATATCGAAGGTTTTAATTAAATGAATAGTACACTATAATTTGGAACTGTGCAAACATTTTACTGCACCGGTAGCTAGTCTGGCTTTAGGCAAGGATTTCCGGTGGAGGTTTTATATGTTGTTCGTCTATCAAATGGAACAAGGAACAAACCACTTACCTTCAGGTCTTGTAAATTCTCTAAACGTGGGCAATGAAATGACAGTGTGGGAAATTGTGTGGACTGGATCCAACACACAGTTGACATCATTTGGTCGACAAGACTTAATGCAACGGATAGTATCTGTCTTTTCAAGTCTGACACTAAGAGAAACGAGAGAGAGAGAGGCATATATATTCTGAAAATTAATTACTTTGTGTTTTGCAGTCTGGGGAGCTAGAAACTATAACTGATGTAAGTGTTCATTCTTCACCTCAAAAACTTAGACAAATGCAGATCATCAGAACTGCTGGACCACTGAAAAATTTGGCTAAGAGTTGCAGTCAACCCCCCCTCGAAGCCATTTCTTCAAGCCAGGTGTGCAAGAATAGGGAGAACTGTAGTGCAGAAGATACCATGTAAATTTGCTTTCCAAGTAGAAACAGGACCAAACAACTGGGCCCAGGTCCTCAGCTGCAGTGCACTGGCGTGGTCTCACCAATTCTGGTGAAGCTACACTTATTTGCACAAGGCTTTTTGTACTCCACATGATATCAATCACGTGGAGTACAAAAACAATCTACAAAAGCAGAAACAATTGTTTCCATTCTGGAAATCTGGCAGGAAATATCTGAGGGGCCAACTTTCTTTCACGATTTTCAGTGCAGCAGGAGCCAGAAAAGCCTCTCTTCAGTCTTTTTTTTCACATCCTCCCTTTCCATCTAAACTGAGAAAACAGAGAGGAATGGAAAATGGGGGAGGAAAAAAGTTAACCACATTATTTAAAACCTCAATGATCGAATTCTGAGTTTGGGGAAATGGGAAGGGTCATTTCATATTCCATCTCAACCAGCTGCTCATTCGTCCTTGAAAGTCTATTAAAAGTTAAATGACTTCTTCTCACCCTTGTCCACTAGAGTGAATTTAAAGTCACTTACAGTTCAAGAACTTCACACAATACCCAGTCTGTGTTTGTGGGAGATGAAAGGGCTATGCTGGGACTTACAATGTGACTAAGCCTCACAAATGATCTCAACTTTGACCTGCCCATTTCTTCATATTTCTAAGTGGAAAAAAGAAAAGACTGCAGTGTCAGAGGGGGGGAATTAAAAGATTAAAAGGAAGAAAAATTCACTGAGTAAAAGGGAAACAAAAATGGAAGCTTTAGTTTGTCAGATACCTCTAGAAACAAATGGTTCTTGCTCTTTTCAAAATGTGTTACCCAAGTCCACACCTACAAGCCATCTTTTTTCAGATGTTCAAAGGGACTTTATGGCTCTATTAATAATAATAAATACATCAGTAACTTCTTATTATATGCTACCCACATTTGCTCATCAAAGAAAACAAAGCCAAACATGCTGATATTGTATGAAGCTAAAATAAAGATAAAAGAGAAAACATGAATCAACATTAAGGAAATCATGCTTCAACAGATGTGAGCTGGCATAGTCCAGGGGAAGGCAATGAAGCCGGGTTAATTTACACCAGCCAAGTCTGGCTTATTATTCTCACTCTGTAGTTGATGTTTTCAGACTGGCCAGGAGATATAGGCCAGGAGACACCTTTTACTTCCCACTGTTATCTGGGTACAAAATTTCATAATTTCCTAGTCATCTCACAGGGAAGAACAGAATAGGCCTTTCTGCTGAAATGCCTCATGCTAGTCATTTTCGAACAAAATAATTCTGGACATATGGACATAATTGTCTGACCTACAATAAGAGATTCTATCCCCTTATTTTAAACTTCAGCTGCCAAATTAAAAAAGGAGTTCCAGCTAGCTGACCCTCATGGCTGTGAAATAAGGATCTGCTAAACTACATAGCCTAGTTCCAGCATACAATGGTCTACTTCAAAATATGTAACAAATGGAACTGAGGCAAAATGTACATCATTCGTGTTTGTTTCCCTCTCTCCCGTTTTTTTTTTCCTCACTGGATATAGAAGAGTTTAGTAGGGAGTTACATCTGCACAGCCATACAAACACACACTGCATCTTTCCTCAGGATCCTGCTAGGCTGGGATCACAACAGCCAAGTCAGACTGGTTTTACTTCTAGTAACGCGTTTACAAATTCTGAAAAAGTTCCTGAAAAGTTTTTCTCTTTGCGTTATATAACATATAAATAATAACTATAGCATCAGCTAAAGGTTTCAGGGACATCAATAAACAATAGCTTCCACAACCCATTTTGGGACATTATTACTAATAATGTAAGTACTGGCACAAGACATACAGCATCCTAAATTTTCATAGCTGTATTTAGCGAATAGAATTTGTATGCAAAAACATGGTGGTGGGAGTGTCTGAAGCGTTCTGGATTGGTCTGTCTTTGCTCCTTCCTGGGAAGAAAAGAGAGCTTTTACTCTTTTTGTTCAGCTGGAACAAAATTTGGCCAATACAAACATTTCTGAAATTCTCATCCAATAAAGCCATGCATTTGTTTAAGATGAAGTCCTATGTAAGACTTACATTCCTAACTCTCACTTCTGACACACTGTAGTAAAACGTTCTAACGGTACGCATAAGGTACCCTGCATAGAGAAATGGAGGACCACAATGATCACAAGTGATTTGTGATAGTTCCTAACTAAAACTAGTTTCTAGATCCATCCAGCTTGTAACCATACATGTGACAGGTAAACATTTATGTCAGCTCTCTTTCTTTGCACCGTTTCTCTTTCTTCTTACAAATCGCACAACCTTTTTTATTTGCGTGCTCTGTCCACGCTGCTAAATATTCACTCTCTGATCTCCTTTCTTTTGATATCCCTGCTAACTGCTTCAGCATATCCAAAGTCCAGTTGGTACATCTTTAGACATCTTCTGGAATAATTGCTTTGACAACTAGCATCTATTTCAAATCCTGATATTTGCTATTAATGGTGTGCTCTGACCTCAAAATATTTCTTAATTTTATCCTTAAACATTGTCTTTGCATTTGATCTTCTCATTTGCTGATGCTTTCCTTTTTGCTCATGTCCTGCTGTAGTGAGGACTGTGACTGACAAACGTTTCTTTCGAAGTGGTGAGAACTTTCTTTATTCAAATCTTTCCTTCAAAGTTTTCCCCTTTAGCAAAAATTGCAGCTTTGGAGCTGGTACCTCCTCCAAGCCTTTTTCATTTAAAAGAGAAAAATGTTAAGAAACAGCTCTATTGCTCTGATTATTTTGCAAATCAACCTTTCCTGAATATAAATTTTTTATTTCTTCTTTGGTCCTGGTGTCATTCCTTTTCATATCCTCTATTGGATTCAATCAGTAAGTTCTTCAGACCAGGAGCTGTGATTTCATTTTCATTTGGAAAGAGAGATATTGAGCTCCTGGAGCGAGTCCAAAGAAGGGCGACTAAACTGGTCAAGGGGCTGGAAAATAAAACTTATGAGGAGCGGCTGAGGGAGTTGGGGCTGTTTAGCCTGGAGAAGAGGAGGCTGAGGGGAGACCTGATTACAGCCTACAAATACTTGAGAAAAGACGGTGGGGAGGTGGGGGAAGGGCTCTTTACATTAGTGTTGGGTGATAGAACAAGAGGAAATGGGTATAAGCTTAGTCAGGGAAGATTCAGGTTGGATGTTAGGAAGTATTTCTTCTCTGAAAGGGTTGTCAGCCACTGGAATAGGCTGCCCAGGGAGGCGGTTGAGTCCCCATCCCTGGATGTGTTTAAGAATAGGGTGGATGATCTACTTGAGGATATGGTTTAATGGGGATTAGGGATGGTTGGACTCGATGATCTCTAAGGTCTTTTCCAACCTAGAAATCTATGAATCTATGAACCACGCACATAAATGACACTACATAATTACATACATGTTCTTCAAAGTTCCAGCTCAACTGCAGAATTAAAGCATCTAAACCAGGAGAATCTGAGCTCCATGTTCTTGAATTACTTACTGCATGCAATTAATATGGTAACGTTTTACAATACTGAGGGCCAAATTCTCATACTCCCTTCTTTTCTTGCCAAACAAATATATATTAATGCTTGCAAAAATGAAGTTTATTTTTGAATCTTTATCCTACTTAATTATGGCCTCATAATGAACTGGCAGCCAGAGGGCATTTACATACAAGCATCTTCTGTGGCGGTAAGAAACCCCATTAGCTCAAGTAGCACGGGCTTGTGCTTCCAAAATTTAAAGCTGGGACTCTATCCCCACTGGCAACTTCTGGCAGCTTTATAAGTATGTGTCAACAGACTTATTAAACATTGGCATTCCTCGTGAGACTTGAACTCCAGTCAGCGAGCTGGGATAAACTTTGCCTTAGGGAACATATAATACTCTGGCAGAGCGCTGCGATCATGCCCCAATCTAGTGCTTGGCTCATGATGAGCCGGAGAGCCCGCAGCTTTCAGCTAATAGAGCGATTCCTTGTGTTCAAGTGATTAAGGCTTGTGATCTTGGTTTAGAAGGTTCCCAGTTTCTAACCTTGAACCTTGCCTGTGCTGTCTGTATTTACATAGTGAGGCGTTTTTAATATGTGTTTCATATGGATTGTTCCTCATTAATCTATGGACTGACTATTCTACCTATGTACAGGGCAGCAGAAATACCTAAGCCCAGGACTGTGTAAAAGAACATTAATTTTTAGATCATAACTCTGGTATACCTTGAGCTGACTGACAAGGACTCAAGAGTAAAATAAATCCTTTTCCAGCTCACAAAACAAAAGAATGCCAAACAAATTCCGTTTGTAATGTCCACATTGTTCTTGATTGCATAGAAGTAGAGGAAGAAATTCATAGAAGTAAAGGAAGAAACATTTGGATATTGGAATTCCGGCCAACCTTTCAGGGATGCTAGGGTTTGGCTGGGGTTCTTTTGGTGGTGGTGGTGGGTAAAGTCTTTACAGTTAAAAATTTATCAGCTTTGATATGGCAGTTAGAGAGACAAAAATGTGATGAGACCAATTAAGTATCTTTTTCAAATGCTCCTGCAGACACATCCCAGGATATAATAGCCTGTGAAATCGAAAGGAGCTCTCTGCTACTAGCTGAACACTATTAGGAAATCCATTGCTTTTTTCACATCGTTAGTTTTTCAATTCAGTGGAAATTCCACAGAAAAGAAGATGAAATATCTCCAAAATAAATGTTCTTTAGAGGAGATTCTCCTTTGTATCACCCTTAAAAGTCAGAACTGGGACCTGTACCTGGTGGAAATCAGCACAAGCTCACTAGGTACAACAGAGCACTGATAACTTGTGCAGCTTGAGAACCTGGCTCCACACTTTCTAAGTGACTTGTGCACCAGGGCACCTCTGAGGTCCTAAGGGCCTAAGTTATGCCCTTTTAATAGATTTTCAGAAAATGATGAAATTCTCTAAAGATGTCTCAGCTGAGACAGCTCAAATTATGCACCTATTTTGTTTTGAAAACTTAGGCCTAAACATGCGCAGCTGTGTAACATCGGACGAGACCAACTCCACTACTGTGTGAAGTAAATTAACAGTTTTCAATCCCTGATACAGTCAGATAGTAAGCTCTTGGACACCAATTTCTGCTTTTTATAATGATGCAGAGTATACATGAGAATCTCCCCAAACTGAGATGTTCAGTGATAGGGGAAAGTGGAGAACCGTAACAATGATGGCAAATAAAATGCAAGTGCAGGATGCAACAGAGGAACTAAAACTTTATTAAAATCAGGAAAAAAAAAAAAGCTACTCTTAGAAGAGAAAAAAAGCCAATGAGGTCTGTAAGTTAGGGATCAAAGCTGTGCAGAGACAAAGATAAAAAGTTTGGCAATAAAAGTGTTGACAGTTCCATGGCGGAAAAGTTGCATTTGAATTGTCAGAAGATGATCTCTGGGCTCTGTGATTTGCCGCTGCATGACCACAATGCCACTGTGGTTGTTCACTTTTTTTGTGGTGAAAAAACCCTCCTGGTTCCCGCTGATGATGGACAGCAGAATTTTATCCCCAGGGACAGCATTGGAAGGGCCCATGCGGAAAATGTCGGTGGGTACTTGAATGTTGGTAGGAAAAGAGAGGTGATAGTAGGTTATTCTCAGAGGCAGGCTCTGGCACTCCTTATTTTCATTACAAGGCAAGCGCTCACAGCGACTGCAAGAAAAGTGAGAACACAAGACAAGAGGAAGATTAGCGTACATTTAGCAAGCGTGACAGGAGAGCAAGGGCAGTGGGGGTGGGAAAAGATATGTTGACTTGCATACTGCATCCATTCTTCAGCCTGGCACCTCGGTCACATTGCAAATGGACATTTATTAAGTAAGGATGACCTTGTCTGTAGTTGGTGCTTTTGGAGAAGCGTTGCCATTTTCAGAAGTGTTGCCCTTTCTTTGCACGCACAATGGAATGAGTCTGGCACCTCAGCATGGGTAAGAGTTTATTTGCATTTAGATCAGCTCAGCTCTTCCTAGGGAGAACACTGGCTTTTTTTTTTTTTTTTTTTCCCAGTTTTATTCTTTTGTTGACTGGACATACATTAAACAAAGGAAGAGATCCCAAGTGGTTAGTGAGTTGACTGTGTCCTACCTTGGGATGTCTGGCTGGATTTTAAGACTCAGCAAGGTATTCTGAAAACCACAAATGTACAAGGAATAGGTCCTTCTGAGAGAGAAAAGGCACTCGAGATACTGCACTATGGATGTTCATCATCTGAGAGCATACAGAGGAATGTAAAACTTATCTCTAACACTGCCTGTATATTAAGGTTTATTTGCTTTGAAGATAAACCTTCCTCCTGATGTGGCACAGTATTTCTCTGTGCTACCAGGAGAACCAACTTGAGTCAGTCTAACATACGCCAAGCATATACAAAGCACTGAAAACAAGACCCAACGGCCTGGTGTCTCCAGAATGTGCCCTACGCATTCAGTTTGCTCTTACGCAGCCTGGAGTCACAGGAACGATGCTGGCAAGTGAGAAAGTTGCCCTCTGCTGTTCTCTTACCACTAGGCACTGTATTACAGCAACAAATCCAGAGAACTAGAAAGAGATCACCCATACAGGCTGAAGCTGAACAATGAATGTCAACACTAGAAATCGTGATCTGCATGGGGAGAACAATCTCCTCCCTTTCTGTTACTGAGAGAAGTGAAGTTTGTCCTGTAAAATATGGCACAGACAGGTATGGGCATTAAAGTCACTGCTGTTAAGGAATGCTGTAGTTTACCAGCACGCTAATGAGGATCGGACATGTAACGATACCTGATGGGTTTGAGAAGTGTTTAAAGAATTGCATACAAGGAAAGTTTATATGAATTTCAGATTAAAGATATTCCCAAATCACCACATTCAAGTTGGTATCTGAACATCCTCTCAGACAGGTGCGTGGAAGTAGAGGTAAACATGACAGTCTCGGCTGGATGTTGACTTTGCAAAATTTGAGGATGATCGGGTTGGGCATTTAGCTCCAAACTCGCCTCATGCACAACTGTGAATTAACTAAATGATGTACAAAAAACTCTCCAGTCAAAAGCAATATTCAGTCCACAGGCTGAGGTTTTGGAATCTGAACTATTTATTTGTTTCTTTACTAAGAAATGCTCCAGCATGAAAGCATGGTTTGCTTCTTACTACCTCAAGTAAATTTAAGAGCCCATTTCATTTTGACATAGAAAATTGAGGTCCTATCAGGAGTATCTGGTATCAACAGAACTGTGGCCCATAAGAAAGCACCACTTTGTTGCAAGTGACCTGAATTCCAGGAACTTCTCATTATATGCAAAATAAGCATTTTCAAAAAGAGCAGTTAAAAGCACCCTCAGTTCTTCAGTTAATGTGTTCTATGTTTTCTTTTAATACCACTTGCAAATGAAAGTACAAAGCAATTCTTTGAAGATTTAAATGCATTCTTAATTTTATTCATGTGTGCAAAGAGCACACACAAGTCTTCACAGGATGGCCGACTAATTAGGTGTGGATACTCTTGGAATATTTTCAGGTACAGTGAGTTCTGCATTCTTTTCTGAAATGTCATCAATAACTCTGCGAAAAAGAATTACTTGGTTTTGTTGAAATCATGAGGCTACTTGGTTTTGTTGAAATCACGAAGCAAGTCAAGGCAGTTAATCTCTTAGTTGGAAATGTTTTCTTCATGTAAATGTTTTTGGAAGCATGTACACGCTTATGAGCACTTACATGCTCTTTAAGACGTTCTGATTTACTCTTTTGTAAAAGTAAAATACATTTTATAATCATAGCCAGGATTTTTTTAAGAGAAAAAAAAACCCACACAAAGCTCCCAGCTTCCTAAGATTTGAAAAAGGACATTCTGCTGATTCAGAAAGTTATTTGTGGAGACAGATGTGCCTGCGGCTAGGAGCTAGAATTATTCAAAATTCATCATCTTTTATCTTATTCTTTGGTGGTGCACACAACGCACTGCACACTTCACTGTAAGTTTAGTTAATGTGCCCTAATTGTTCCATCAAATAACCACAAAGGAGAGATAGCAAATATTATTGCCTTCAGGAGCCAGAGTTCATTCTGGGGCCATGCACCGCAAAGGCAATAAGTGATGAGCATTTAAATCCCAATGTACTCTCTTCTAGACCTTCTTTAAAGGCTTCCCTTCAGTGCGCAGAAGAAACTCATACGGCAGGGGAACCCAACAACCTACTGCTAGTGAGTGCGCAGCCCAAGATCCCGGGTGCGACTCCAGCTCCGTGGCATCTCAGGAGGGATGAGTTGGCCATACAGCTTCCACACCAGGTCACTGTGGGAGAGAGCACGGGGGGCTCGGTGGGAGAAGGGGAGGGCTGAGGAGGCAGCAAGTTGGTCCTAGGGAAACCCAACACAGAGCCCAAGCAGAACATGCACTGCTTCAGTGTGAGGCAGTTGTATATATATCTTTGCAAACCTCTGCAATTAGGCACGTGGGTTAGAAAAATAAGCACATAATGCTGCTAAACGCTTATTCCGGAATTCATTCCTCATTATTTTAACTCACTTACTACTCTCTTCTCTTAGGTTTATTTATGTGGCTGAAGTACTGGTTTCAAAGAATTACTCATAGTTTGAATTTCATATACCAAACACTGGTTACTCCTAAAGGAAAATAAAACTACCAAAACCAGAGAGATTCCATTTTAGATAATGAATGCAATGTTTCCTAACAAAGAAATGAGGAGAAAATATTTTCTGCCTTCCCTCCTGCTAATTTCTGAGCCTGGTTTTCACGTGGTACAGAGGCAATTTACGCCACTGTGCCCAAAGGAGTTGAGTGGTATACAGTTCATCATGCACTGAAGGGAAAAGAACTTTGTAGCAGGATTTATGGCTTTGTGATTTACTTCATATAAGGAAACCATCTCAACATGCTCAACAACTTACCAAGTATTATTACTAAACTATACACTACACCTCTCTGAAATTCAACTCTGTAGATTTCTAGACCTGTAACAATCTTCTGGACCTCCTAGAATATACTCCACTATGAAGGCACTCACTCGTGCTTTCATCGGTGTGTATTTCTTTTCAGTAGGTTGCAACACACCTTGAAGCCCAGATGAGCCATCAGCCGGGCTGCATCACCACATTGTGGACCTCTACATTTACGTTAATAGAACAGCTGCACAGGGAAGAAGATTTTTTGTCTTAAACAGACCAGAACTTAAAGGGAATGAAACCAATTGACGGTTGGTTTTCACACGTTTCTTAACCAAAGGAGAATCTAGAGTCCTGCTTCAGGCTCAGGCGGGAATACAGTACACAGCAGTACAGTAGACAGGATGGACGAATGGCATGTTCCTCCTGTCTGGAGCTGGAAAGTCTCAAGGAATTTTCAAGCTATAGAAGAAACAGATGACAGATCCATCTCCATTTTGCCCTCACCACTGAATCTATATGTCCTAGCCCTGTCTCTATCTGTCTTTCCCAACCTGGCTCCTTCTTCCTATTCCCTTTCCTTGCCTACCGTCCTTCCTGCTCACGCAAACACTTGGCATCAGGACTGTCTACTCAGTCAGGGCCAATCCTCCTCTTCTTGCTCCATCCTCTCCTGGCTGACACTTGGTTCTCTCAGTTTCTACCTCATAGCCATAGTCCCAAAGTGTACACCCTTTCCTTCAGTGTCTTTGTGCAGACATCCCAAATTATTCCTTGCTCTGATGGTCTCCATCCGAATCTGGCAACAATCATCCTTAACTGTAAGCTCCTGACTCCTGTGGTTGTCTTCCCCCTTGCCTCTAAATTGTTTTACCCAATTTTACCTTCTACCCCTCAAGTGTCTCCCAGATTCATTCTCCTCACCTGGTCATACCTTCAGATCCTTCCTTCCCTACATTCAGCATCCTTCTCCCACCCGTGACAGAAACACCTTTCTTATCCATGGAGTCTGAGTGGTCTTTGAAAGCACAGAAGAAAAACTCTGGGGTTGTCAGGATTGTCCGGCCCAGGACAGACAGGAGCTGACATGGAGAAGATTGGGCTTCTTTCCTGCATCCGTATGTGGGAGCAGGCTCAGATAGCCCATGGAGTCAGTACGTGCACATTTCAGACTACTTCAAAGAGCTGCAAGAAGCTCAGGTCTACTAAATCAGAAGAGAATTGTTTGTTGCCAAAAAAGAAAGACTTCTCTACTGATAGGAAGAACTAAATTGCACTGAGGAAGACCATCAGACACAGACTGCCACCGAGGCTATGAAATCCTTATCACTCAAGGACTTGAAGCAAAAGTTAAACCAACAACTCGCAGAAATACTCCAGGTAGACCTGATTCTGTTTTGGCATACAGGAGTGGAATAAGATCACCCATCAAGGTCCTAATTTCCTAAGGTTTACAAAAAAAGGCTAAATGCAATTTTAAAAAGTTCGTAATTTCTGAATTTTCAGAAGTCTTTGGTAAGGATGACAAAAAGCGCAAAAGTAATCTCCTAACAAATTTGAGATTTCTGCTCCAAAATATGACAGCAAACTGTTTAAAAAAAAAAAAAATCATAAAAATGTCAAACCACCTCCACGTTCCTCCCTACCCTTGTTCTTGGAAACGAGTGAACTGCTTTGGCTGAAATTTGCCAAAACTCGAGCCTGAGTCAGACACCTGGTATGTAAAACTTCAGCCGTTGGTTACGTTTTGGCAAAACTCTAAGCAGTTAAAA